GCAGAAAAATCCAACCAAGTGAAAAAGAATTTTAAACAAAATAAACAAGAATGATGAGAGATGAGAAATATCTGCAGCTGTACTTAACCCTTTCACTAACCTCTAAAAGCTGTGCAGAAAACCAGTATAATTAGTTTTTTTGCTGAATTACACTCAAGGATGAAAGAATTTACAAAACTGCAGGCCCAGTTCACCAGTTGTTTTGAAAATAGAATTTTTGTGGCTAAGAGCAAAAAGACTTGATCAAGTAAATGTATGAATCAAGAATCACATAGGCTTCTCAGCATAGGATAGGGATAGAAATTTCCTCTACATAGGAAGCACATCTTTTCAGTGAAGTGAACCCTTGCAATTCTTGCTAGACAGGACTCAGAGTGCAGAGGCTCTCTTTAAGCCCGTGTCGATCATTTCTCAGTAACCTGTGATACTGAGAGTCTGGAGACAGCCAGAGCTGAGCAATGCTGAGGCCACGCATGCCTCCTCTAGCCTTACCTTAACTAACACCAGCAACTGTTTGCTGATAAAATCTGAGCTACCATCAGGAGATAAACATGCAGCTAGAGGGCTGTGGATGCTGACTAAGCCCCTATGAATCATGTGAGATACTTAGATCCCCCAACTTGCCTTTGACTCTCAACGTCAGAGGACGGTAGTTAGAAGATACACTTTAGATACAAATTTCAGATTAAGTGCAAAGGACCACTTTTACTGCATTCTAGCAGCAGAAAACACCATGTATGAGAACGAAGCCTACTTACACTTGTACATAAGACAGACCTAATTTGCGGTCTTCCAAAACTACAACAATGAAAGCAGAACAAGTTCTGGACACAAGTTAGTATACTTATATGATTACTGAACAGCTTACTATTGAAGATAGTTATCTGTCATTATCTCAAACTGAATATCTCTTCACTAGCTACTGTGTAATATGTTTAAGATGCCGCACAGACTGTACTGATATATTAATCAGTACAGATAAAAATCCATCCCTACTGGCTGTTCTTTCAGAAATCAGGTAACAATCAATAAAAGGACACATCCAGATTCAAAGAGGAACAAATACACTGCACAAAAATCTAAGTAAGGAATGTAGCATTAAAACGGAGCCAGCTCAGGTGTTTTTGCAGCAATAATTAGTGGTGATGTCCACCATAGAAAGTGAAACGCCCCCAGAAATGCATGAAACATAAAAACTCCTACTGTACAAAATCTTCTGGGGATATGTTTCATACATGATTATATGCACTACCCTAAGCCCAAAGTATGGATGCTCTGACAGTATCACAGCTTACATTTTGCTGTCTTCCTCTTATGTTTTTCCATATTTTCTTTCACAGCTTCATATTCTTGACTAGTCTGTGGTTCAGCAAGCCATTCTCTATCTTTGAATATTTTGAAATTCTTTTAAAACTATACCCAAATGCTAAGATATGCCTTTATATACACCTGTATACATATATGCTCCCTCCCCCCCCGTATATGCACACACACTCACACACATGCACAGATGCACAATATTCACTTCTGAAGGTTTCCTTTCCTAGAATCGCTTCCAGTTGCACTGATATAGTACTATTTTCACCACCAGATGGCAGTAACTTCAATTTAATATAAACCAGACGTTGCCACATGTGCAGCAAACAATGGCATTCTTTATATTTGGTTTTTTTCTGTAAAAAAAGAAATGCTGTTGGTTTTTTTTTCCCTACATATAAAGATATTCCAGATTCCTTCTGTTTAATGAAAAAATTGGAGAATAAAGTTTTCTACTAGCAGTGAAGCCCAATTTTGATCAAGTTATTCCAGAAGCTTAAAATAATAATAATAAAAAAATACAGATATGCTACTCCAAGTCATTGTTTTCTCCAAGAATAATTTTCAGTACCAAATGAACTACGTTACTTTCAATAGCATAACGAACTTTTACAATATATGCTAGTAATTACAATAACTAAAAGGCTCTACGGAATGGAAGCAAATGGAAAATCTCATTTATATTGGTTTCTCAAATATATACAGTGAGCAGACTTCTTCTTACCTTAGAAGGAATTCAAAGTATCATCTACAGCAAAAAAAAAATGCATACTGTATTACACATGTTTCCTGCAGTGTGGAATCTAATAACAGCTTCTGCTGGTAAGAGTAGTTTTTTTCTAGTTAGGCAGTAACTGTGAAAATAATGCAACCTGGTAGAAAAGGACTACTCTAAAAAACATATGAGCGCTACTCTGAAAGTAATGCCTTCTATTTTATTATGTTGGCTCACAACATTAGAGGAGGATGCATGAAAGCAGAGGTTTAACCTTCCTACCAATATCCCATTACATTTTGTTGCTGTGTGATAGACGGCAGGAGAGAGGCAGTCTGACAAAATTGCATATGACGTGGAAGTACACATGAAGCAAAGGAGCGTCACTGAATTCCTCCACGTGAAAGAAATTGTGCCCATTTACATTAATTGATGATTGCAGAATATTTATGGATATCAAATAGCGGATGTGAGCACAGTGAGGTGGTGTGTTTCAGATGTAGTGACAGCAACAGTGAGTCACCTCCAGTTGTGCAAGTTTTTTACACTGTTGGTGAAAATACATAGCTAATGGTGGTGATTATGTTGAAAAAGAGTGCTTTTTAGCTGAGAATTTGCTCTATCAAATATTATTATTGTGCTCTTCATATCCTTTATAGTTTCCATGAAAATAAATAGGAGGCATTGCTTTCCAAACTCTATATTTTAGTAGTAATTGATTCATAGCTTCCAGACAAACTACGATCTTTACCCTTCATTTTATTTTTAAACTTCTCCTTATTTCTGAAAGAAAATTTCCAGAACAAAATGGCATATATTATAAAAAGAGGACTTCACTCTTTTTCTACCAGTATTAGTATTCAGAATGATTATGTGGGTTTATGTTCAGCTCTCTGCTGACTGCAAAGAAAATATCAAAAATGCGCGTTCTATTGAATAAAACAGACTTATCTTCCAATAAATCTATGACCAAATATGCAGCCTGTTTGGACAGCTGTCTTCCACTGTTGTCCGTGTACATATTCAGATACTTTTCTCCTTATAAATTTTTATAATTTCTTTTCATTTTATAGGCCGAAAGACAACACGGGAGAAAATTTTCCTCACACATATAAAATAAGCACAGTGATAGGATGAGAAGTCCACAAAGTAAGAAAAATGGCCTGGATTTTATGGACAAATAAATTAGTAAGAAAAAACAAGGAGAGTAAAAGAGAAAATCTGATCTCTGAAAAATCAAAAATGAAAGAAAGGAAATAAAGCCTAACAAAAACATCCACAGTAAAAGGAGGAAATGTAAGCAGGAGGGAAAGAAATGGAAGCACGAGGAGAAGAAATGATGATTGTAAAGTCTTTGAGAGAGAAAGAAAATGAAGAAAAGACAAACTGTTGACATCAAGTCTGAGTTTAGGAATGACATCACCATAAAGTCCAGTGTTTCTTTTATAGAAAAAGCTAGGCTGCTATCACCTGCTTTATTTTAAATATGCTGGTAACTGTGCTTTTTGAGAGTACAGTGATATAGTTAATTTCTACTAATTCAACATTTAGCAGTCACCTGTACTTGTAGTTCCCACTTATGGCAAATATTCTTGAGTATTTCACTTTTCATTATTTACCCTTTATGTAAACCAACAAGATGCATCCAATTTATACGGATGTGTACTACATGCCTGACATCCATAATCAAAATCTTTTGAACTGAAGAAGATACAGCATTATTCAAAAGACCTAAGCTTTTCCTTATGGCTTGTTATTTTGAGATTCCACATTCACATCAGCTGGAAGCATGAGCAGAATCCACCACAAAAGTAAGCAATTTCTAACTTCTGAAGAAAGAAGAAAAGTAATGGTAACATGGAATTTTAAGTATGAACCTAGTCAAAATGGTTTTAAGTGGAGAATGCAAATTTGTATGAAAACCACACATTCAAAAGTCATCCTTAGATCAGAAAGACAAACTGAAAGAAATACTGCAGAAGTGTACAGAGGAAGTGCTGGGATCTACAGTTCAATATAAGGTCCTGGCCAGTAAATGGCCAGTAAAGTAAGGGTTACAGAGGACTTCTTTTTGCTCTAGCTGCAGTAACGGTAGTAATCAGAGTAATGTTTACAAATTCTTTCATATTTTTAAAAGGACATGGGAAAAACAGAAAGAGGTGAAGGAAGAGTAATAAAACCTGAAAACTGAGAAGACATTTCAAATCTTTTTCAGCTGACTTGATGTAGCAGTGATCATGCGAAAACAACCACCATTTATAGGTGCCAGCAGAAAATAATAGCCCGATATCCAGATAAATTTAAATCATGAAAAAAGCAAAATTTTGACAGTTTGTTTTTGCAATTAATCACTCTTTCTATAATGGATTAAAAAAATATATATTTATTTCCTGCTTCAAAGACAAAATACAAAGGACAAGAAAAACAACTTGTATTTTAATTACATGGTCAGTGGTGCATTTTGATTTTTTAAACACTATGACTCTCCATTTAAGGACTGAGGTAATTAGTCACATCTTTAAGGAAAAATATTTAGAATCACATCAAGACAATGTCAGCCTTCCCACAAGCAAGAAGATAGTCACTAAATATTTCTTAGAAACTTAAGGTGAAATTTTCTTCTGAGTGAAGGAGACCATGACAAAACTCCCATCCAATGTAACGGCACTAAGATGATAGATCCATTTCTGGTGCTGCTGGTGCAGAGCTATGTTCCAACTAGAAAAAGCTGCTGAGACCTGCAGTACCATCCTAGCCAGACCAGGTTCATGATTGCCAGCCATCACGGCAGGCCTGACTGTGCCTCCATTGCAGTCCCAACACCCTGCCAGCACTATGACTACATTCAGTGGGAGTCATGTCAGAAGCTATAGGAGTCTCACCCATCTCCATGCCAGGAAAGAAAGCACCTGAATTTGTTGGTGGTGACATGGTAATACAAACTTTAAATAATGATCTCAGGACTTACCAGCAGTTAGTGAAGTGATACAAATGATCCAGCTGCAAAACTGAACTGCAGGTGGACACCTGAAAGAAACACAGCTCATCAGACAAGGATAATGGATTCATGCAATAAATCAGCCTCTTGATTTTTTTAAATAAACTCACTTTCAAAGAAATACATACAGTGATGTAAAGTATATTACTAAATACACTGATAAAAAATATATATTTCTTTTTCTCAAGACTTGATGACCTTCAGCAAGTTAAAAGTTTTAGGGGAATTGCCAGGTGTCAGGCAATATTGTGACCCAGTACCACAGCACAGCCTGCCTGGCTGTTCCTCCACTTGGCATGGCCAGCCCAACTCCCAGCCTTGCTGCCCCACAGCTGCAGCAAGGCAGGCAGTAGTAGGCTGCAGCCAGAACAATGTCACTGCCCAGCTACTTGCTATCTTGCATAATCCACCATCTTTTATGATGCTATAGACTGGGGCAATCTCTTCCTGGCTGTACATTCAGTCACATGCTGAGCTATGTATGCAAATAAAGTCAAGATTTAATTATTTTTTTGTGACATGAAATACATCAGGACACAAAGATTCATATTCATTTTGCTAAGTAGACAGCTTGTTAACCATATCGCTGCTTATTAATAATGAACTTCTAGGAGCTAGCACAAGCTAGAAGAAGGACAAAGACTGACAGAGAAATCTGATGGGACAGGAGCCCTGCAGGTCACCTAGTTCAACCTCCTACTCAGCAGTACCCCTAGCTGTGCTCAGTATCCTAGCAGGTAGCTCAGGACCTGAACCAGGTCTGTACTACCCCTGAAGTCCATGGGCTGTCCTCATGAGATTTCCCTCTCCTTGACCACCATCATGATGGATATTTTTTTCTTCTGCAAATTACAATTCTTTTTGCTGCAGCCTGTGACCTTCCCTTTGCAAGCTTTCATCAAGCACCTTAGCAAAGTCTCCACCTCCATCTTCCCTACAATCCTTGTGTCAGCAGCATGTAGTAGACTCCCCAGCTAATGATCCTTTGCCATTTGTCAGAACTGCTCTTATTCAGGGGGGCTAAAACTGAATACAGCACTGCAATGCCAAGTAGAGAATACACAGAAATGTGACTAAAGAAAATACAGGAAAATGGGAATTTAGAAGTACTAAGAATAATTTTAAAATAATTCACTTAACTAAGTTCTAAGTTAATATAATCTATTTTATGAATAAACTTGCAGCAGATGTATTTCTTAGACTGCATTCTAGTACCTGAAAATTTGTCTTTAAACCTCAATTATCTGGAAGTTTATCCATTTTTATTGAGTCGCTCAGGAAATGAAGTAGTAAGGCATTGACATTTCTGAGTTCCTGAGTCTTGGTGTCAGCCAAAAAGTGGTATAGTAGTAACATTTTCTTCATTCATAGTACATATCTTAATGTTTTGAGATAAATTCTTAAGATTCAGCCGTAGCAAATTTTAAATACCAATCCACTGTGAGATCACATGGAATGGTAACTGCACAAATCTTTTGAGGTACTGACTGCCTTCTGATTTCCATTTGTTCTTTGTGAAGTTCCATCATTGTTCCAGTGAAGAAGATAATAATCATATGCATTTGTATTTCTTTTACAAATTTTAATTTTCATCTTAACTTTTTAAATATTTTTATTTAACTTTTAAAATAAATATTAAATGAAACCCTTGTTTAGAAGATGTAGCTAAGGAGATTTTACAGGGCTGAATTGCTCACAACCACCTAATCTACTCCCCACTTCTACAGCCTTTTATTTATGAGGTGGGAATTTGATCAAAACTTGGTATCTTATTTTTGTTTGCCAGTATCACAACAATCTCCTTCCCTAAAACACATGTTGCTTCTTCTTGTGATGTAATCTAGAAAATCAACTGTCAAACATTAGTCTAGAAAAATCATTAGCCAAATAATTTTTTTTTTTTTTTTTTTAGGGGAAACAACAGTTTTTGAGAGGAAGTGATGCTACCTCTGGTTACTGTTGTTTGTGTTTTTAAGGTGTAGTGGAAGAGTCATTTTCAGTATGCAGTACAAAAGTACTGTCAACTCAGAATAAACTCTTCACAACACCAGAGACCAGGAGGAACAGAAAACAAGGTTAAAGTCTGCAGTGCAAACTGCAATGTTATATCTGTGGTTATTATTGCTTCTGTTATTTGAAACCTTGTGAGGAAATGAAGGACCCGATTATATTAATGAACTACAAAATAAGCACTTCAGATGTTCCAGCATAGATGATAGATGTCTCTAAATGAGATATTTGTTTAGGCATGGTCAGTGAAGAGTATTTCTAGGGCACAGCAGATTTCATGCAGTTAAAATCACTAAAAATAGATCAGATTAATCATACTGTAAAGTGTCTCTGATTATAAAAGGGGCCTGTGGTGACTAGCTCAGGGGTGCTTAAAACTAGGTAAGATGAATGTCATCCAAAATGGCTGAGATACCAATCTGATGTGTCCATTAACTGGATTTGTTTCATTTTGAAATGTACTGTTAGATCTCAGAAGAAAAAAAAAAAAATAGAGAAAATTATTAAAATTTCTATGTAAGGAACTGCAACAACTTGGCTAGGAAAACTGCCGAGTACTCAAAGTGCTCAGGTGTAGGAAGCATGTATTTAGCTGGAACAAACATAGAGGAAGGCTATTAAAATGAGTAGTAGGAAGGGAGAAATTATTGTGAGAGAACTAAAAGCTTAATTTTAATAAAGTAGAGCCAGTGGAAAATGTATACTGCGGGGAGAATTAGATCATTACAAGCACAGGTGAAGGAGAAAAATTGTTCAGTCTGAAGAACAGAGATGGCACAAGAATAACCGGCAGAAAATCAGACTGAAAGTATGATTTTCAGCTATCAAAGCATTAGTGTTTGGAGGAGCCTTCCAATAGGGAGGTCGGACTTGTTTTTCCACACATATCTAATTGTTTTCAAGATGAAAAAATGATACATTTATGAAAGAGAATGTGAAATACCATTGCCTTTAGGACAGGAGACTCAGCTTCATATGCCACCACTTTGATTCTAGACGGGATTCTGTATGCATGGCTGCATTTATTGAAATGTCAGAAATTATACTGTAGATATGCCTACACTACCATTATGAATATGTTGAGGTGCTTTTTTAAACTTGCAATTAATACTAATAGAGCTTTCCCCAATAACATTCCCCATCTAAAAATCCTATGTATTTGCTGAAAGTAACAGTCTGTTTCTTGAGAAACATATTAAGGAAGAGAAGGTACTATATGCAATTTCTTAATAACAAACAGAACAGGGAATTTTTTACTGCATAAACTAAACTTCTTTTGCCAGAATGGTGCTTCTGCTACATGTGTTTTCCCTTAATATTGCATTTATTGTCTTAGAAATGCATATGTAGATTAATACTTTTCCTAATAAATTCTAGCAAACATAACTTTTTGTTCACTGTACAGATGTTTGTACAAATGAGAAAATCATATTTTGTGTATGTATAAGAAAGAATAAATTCAAGCTACAAAAAAAGGAATGCCATAAACAGATACTGAAGGATGCAGGTAGGGATGTCCCCTCTAACATCACTAATCCAAAAACAGTTGATGCCAAGAGAGTACGAGGGAAATGGACCACAGAAAGCTGAGAGGACCACACACTCTCCCTGAATTGAATGCCCTATTTCCATTGTCATGAAGACACATGAGGATTGATGGGCTATTAGTCCAACCAACAAGAGCATCTTTTGAATTATCTTATTCCATAAGCATAAGTCAGATGGATTGTAAGCTCAGTTTGAGAAAACTCAGACATATTATAGGAAAAAGACCATTGTTTAATCTTGTCTAAAAACTGTGCCCTAAAAATGAGACCGTTCAGTAAGAAAGAACAAGTGAAGGAATACTGTTAAAACTGTATTGGAACACTGATGTAGACACAAAATCCTAGGTGCTTCTCAGAAATGTAAAAGACTTCCTTCAAGATCTAATTTTGGATTTATTTATTTCTTAATGTCAAACTATCAGCCATCATGTCCCCCATAAAGCAAAAATCTTTCCATTTCTCTGGGAAAACTTTCTTTCACCAGAACTCCTATAAACAGGTCCTTGACAGTGGCATTTGTTAAGCAAGTATACTGACCTTTTCAAAGTTACTCTTTTTCTGTATGACTGTTCTTGTTTTGCATTCTGATACATATTATTTCACATATTGCTAACTACAAACTTAGCATGCTTGTCCTACTTTGCAAGGTTCTTTATTCACGAATGTACAAGTATTACAAGATTTCTTTAGAATTCTTTCATGTCTGTAATGTAAATCCTCCAGAGCTCTTCAACAGATACAAACATGGGGAATCAGAAACAGAGCTCTTCAACAGATACAAAACAGGGGAAATTCTCAGCCCAAGCACCTAAACAAAATTTAATAATTCTATCAAAGGTACATCTATATGTGATATTTATTCTGAGAACTACTTCTTCAGAATATCTATCCCATTCTGAATATCTCTTCAGAAGAAATAAAAAAAGAAAAAAAAAAAAAAAAAAAAAGAAACAAAAAACAGTCATTTCACAGACAACACGATGTTTTAAAAGCAGGTCCAACATTAACTTAGATACACTCTTCTCCCTTGCAAGTCCTGCTTGATATTTCATAAAGTCATTATGTAGCATACCAAGAGGATAGTGAGTAGAAAGCATGTGCTGCATAAGAATTATCTCTGTGATGCCCTTCTGAAAATATTGGAAAAGTAAAAGAGAGCCAGAACCAACCCCCCCCCCCCCGGGTTTTTTTTTTTTTTTTTTTTTTTTTTTTTTTTTTTTTTTTTTTTCTTCCTCCAGAAATGCTTGTTTTCTGCATTAGGATGATGCATCTCCTGACTGTTTGGCATGGTGATCTCTCAGCAGGAAATACTTTTGCCATGGGATCATATCACAAAGCCTGTGGTCTTAAATTAGCTAGGGTCTACCCAATAATGAAACTTACTGCTACGGATCTACATCTCTCTGTTAAAAGGCTACAAAAAATACCAGGTTGCTTCAGATTAACATTATTTCAGTAATGCTAAATCTTTT